TTACACAGTAGGTGAGTTCGGCTTGGCAAAACGTAGTTGGAGCGGATAAAGAGCAGTTTCATAGTCACGTGATCACAGAGTGAAAAGAGTAAAATGGTCAAGTCGAACGCATTAGGAGCAAACATGTTTTTTTGCGGATATTTTGGGGAGCAATACAATTTTTTCTACCAGGAGGCAACCAAGCCCTAAGCAAAAAATATCTTCTTTGAAATCTTTAGGTTAGCATCGTTAGGATAGTGAATTATCGGAAACACCGTCTTTTGGAAATATAGCAAGTGCGCATGCCCGCTCCTCGAGTTTCATCTCGCAAGGTAGTGCTTGTGGAGTTAACTCTTTCCACTCTACTTGGCTGTACCCGAATGAGGAGCTTGCACTATTTGCTTCAGTGGCGTGACCCGAACGATTTTGAAGTGAAAAGAGTTAAATGAATCAAAAGAGTTGCCAAGCCGAACTCACCTATCATAGGAAGTCCACTGAGACAAGCTTCCCTCAAGGTTCACATTAAAATGACAGCTATAGTTAACGCCCACCGGATGAAGGCTGCTAAATATGGCAAGAAACATCCGGCAACCACGACTGTGGACTATATAAAGCTTACCGACCTGATGGACAATAACATAATGTAAGTAACCCATAATGGCAGGAAGGAACCTCAATTTATACTGTCAATTATCGGAACCCTCGAAATACAGAATGGGACACATATAAAGCTGACCTGGAGTACAGTCTGCCGAACATCAGGAAGACAATAAGAGACACTGAAGACTTGGTAGATAACTAGTGATAGAGACAAAACCACTGTCATCTGTCTTTTTGACACGTTTCGTTACACACGAATGCCTTTCGGCTTACGAAATGCACCCTCGACATTCCAGAGGCTGATTGACAGATTCCGTTCTGGCCTTCAGAATCTGAACATACTCGAATCGTTTGAATCCCAAGTATCTACAGCAAGTATTTGACCATCTACGAATATTCAAACTGAAACTAAAAGGATAGCTTTCCCTGTACTTCTGTTACGTACATTGGTCATGTGATCTCACCTCAAGGTATCACCCTAAATCCAGATAAGATAACTACGATGTCCAAGATATCGCCTCCCCGAAACGTCAAAAAACTACTGTCGTTCTTGCAGACGTGTTTCTGGTGTAGAAGCTTTATCCAGAATTTTTTGGAAATAGGCAGACCTTTGACGTTGCTCACAGAGAAGAAAGCTACGTGGATTTGGGGCCGGAGGGGCGGAGAGTGCCCTGGTGGAACGAGAGCCTTGTAAAGTTAAGCTAGAACAGAATTCAATAAAGCCGCGAGAACCGGGCAGTGGGAAACATACAGAACCACGTTAAAAAAGTTCAAGAAAGAGCTGAGGGGATCCCAGAGGAGGTCTTGGAGGAAGTACGGTGAGGATATAGAAAGTACTCAAGATTATGCTAGACTACGAAGAACTCTGTCAAGGGACCCGAAGACAACAATCAAATCACTCAAGAATAACCTTGGGGGAAGAGACAGCTAGGGAACTCCTGAGAACCCACTTTCCCGGCTCAAAGATAGTTGCTCAGACTCAGTGGACATGAAATGAGCCTCAACTTCGAAAAGCATCCAGGAACGACTGGCTGACCTCGAAGATAGTAGTCAACTATGAAAAAAATCAAATGGGTATAAACACCCCTACCCCATAAGTCAACAGGGACAGATGGGATCTATCCCGTAATGTTACAGAACGGAACTGAATTTGCAAACAGGATACTATGTAACATTCTAAGAAGTAGTCTAGCCTTTGGCTATATACCAAAGGCTTGGAGGCGCATAAGGGTATCGTTCATACTAAAACCTGAAACGGAACAGGACAGGACACGGCGAAGTCCCTAAGACACTGGAAAAACTTGTGGATAGGCATATTAAGGACGGTGTTTTGGCAAACAGACCACTACCCCAGACCAATATGCGTATCGGACAGGGATGTCAACAGAAACAGGGCTTCACCAGCTGATCAGCATAGTGGAGGCCACCCTGGGTGTGGATCATGTGGATCCACTCTATGCTAAGAGAAAGAATGGTAGAAAACACCATCGCAGAAAAGACACTGACAGTCATGGTGTAGGGGATTCCTACAAGGGCGGTGTATTATCCCCACTCCTGTGGAATCCAGTAGGACACGACCTGCTTATGAGCTGATGACATAGTCATCATCTCACGGATTTCAATTCTACAGTTACGGAGCGAATGCAAGACGCTTTAGACCGAAAAACAAGATGGGTGGATAGGGAAGGGCTCAACATTAGTCCCAACAAATCTATCATCCTGGCACTTATCCGAAACCATAAAATACAAGACCTGGGATCATGATGGTCAAACCTATCTTGTACCGGAGCAGGGGTATACCTTGCCAACTATAGCAATCACTATGAACTGGGAAGACATGCCTCTGTTTTTCAAGCAGAGGTACACGCTGTACTTCAATGCGCAGCGGAGAACAAGGAAAGAGCCATAGCAGGCAGATCCTTATAATGGCTGATAGTCAAGTGGCCCTGAATGTCCTTTCGAGCCAGTGTCATCAAGACTAGTATGGGAATGCCAAGAAGCACTCAGGGCCCTGGCGGATCAGAAAAAAGGCAATGACAAACCAAGAAGAGACAAGACTTATCTGGCCAGAACCGGCTCAAGGGATACCAAAAAGTATCACCAGAAACCACATCAAAGACTGGATTCATAAAGAACATCGGAGACACTGGACAACTTCCAGGCAGAATCATGGTAGGAAATTCATCAACCAACCATGCAGCAAAAGGGCCGCAGAACTGCTACAAATGAGCAGGAGCCGAATGAGAACCACAACGGGATTCTTGACTTTCCACACACCAGCAAAGGTCCACGTGAACAGGATGAACCTGTACGATGGAGACCTGCTTAATTGCAAACTCTGCAATAAGGAACCCGAGCCAGCTAGACACATCCTGGTGAACTGCGAAGCACAGAAGACGCAGCATTTTCGGGCGACCAAATGTAGACCGTTAACAATAATGAAACACCATCCAGTAAAAGACCTGTAAAACCTCGTACAAGGCCCAAAAATACTGGAGAGGTTGGCATAAACCACACAGGCTTGAGTGTTGCATGGGGACAATAAGTTAGGCCTGGGACAAGGGGAAAAAAGCCTTTTAATCAATTCTAGTTTGTCCATTTATTTCTGCATGTTGTAGTAGATTAGTAGAATTGAACCATTGTTTTCTAATATCTTCTTCAGCAGTGATGTTGGAAATTGACCTGTTGAGATGTTTCCTTTTTCATCGTCCCTGAGTAGCTTATGGTTAGCCCTGCCCTTCTATAGGTCCGTTTTCTCCTCGAGCAAACTAGGTTGTGGTTAGATTCAACATTGTATTGACTTTAGATGCAGTTACAGTTCTGAAAACTGTGGTTGATTGTAGTGTACCTACTCATAATTATGGAAGACAAGATCATTAAAGAAAATGATAATCACTGCAAGAATACAAAGACTCAAAAAACATAGGTACGATATTGACGTCGATAAGGAAATTGATAAAAATATCTAGGAACAAAATAAATCCGACAACATCGGCACTGAAAATTAAGATGTACAAGTTCATCTAAGTAGGATTTTAAGTAACCGGTGCGGTTAAACGGCAAAGAAGTATCGCCTGGTAGGCGCGACGGAATCAATTTTTTTTCCACAAAATGTATCTGCTTTCATCCATGGCGTCTTCTGACGATAGGTCTGGCGAAATGAGTATCAAAATCGGTACAACAATTTGCGCCACCACAAACGAGTGTCCGGCTATCGTGTGGGTGAGATGCTGTACGCGGGTGTTACCATCATCATTGGAATGCAAAAAATTCATCATCAATTAAGGTATGATCGCTTTTATCTCAAAACTGTTTACTTGATTAGAATTCAGGGCTAGGTACCTATCAGTAATTTTTTTTTCAGGAAATAATTTAATACCACCTGAACAGCATTGACCCAGATTCGTCAGTAGTTGTTGCTTGCAAATAATGGAAATTTTTATTGTTATCGAGAATTATTATAAGTTTTCTCAGGAAAAATTCTTTTGAGTGACGCTTTTAGATATCTAAATGGTTGGAAATTTGTTTTGCGAAATATGCCTTGGATATTCTTATCCGTTCATCGGTATAAATTGATACCATTCCTTAAGATCATGGTATTAGTACTTTTGACGTTTGTGTCTGCACTGCTTGATGCATATTTTTTATAGCAAATTGATTTACTTTATGTAAGTAGCTATTAACTCTGGCATTGAATATTTAGAATATATTGTTATGATAAGTTCATGAATGATATAAGTCCTAATCTGGAATGTTCGAGTCATTTATGGATTTTCTTTGCTGATTATTGAACCAGTTCGATGAACTTTAAATCGATCCATTATCTTTATTATAACTAGACAAGTCATCAACTCCAGGAAGAACAATTCGTATTTCGTTACGAAGGTCTGAAACTCCTTATCGGCACGTATAATAGGACATTACCAACAACTTTTATTTTGTCGACATCAAAAGTCTAATTACGTTTATTTTGAATAGGTTTTTTGCAGTTTTATCGCGCCTAGCCCTCATGAACCTGGCAACAGGTTTATGTTCGGTTTAACTTTACGATTTAGCTGATTGGCCTAATGTGCTGCAATATCGGATAAATGTTCATACGATAACGAAGAATTTTTAAACAATTTAAATTTATGGTTACCTACCTTTGTAACTGTATGAAATTATGCATTTTTTTTTTGGACTCTGCTACACCCTGTATGCAGATTATTGAAAGCGGCAGTTATCTAAAACAAAATAAACAAACATATTAATTCAATTAGTGAGTTTTAATTTGCTGAAAGTCGATACTATTTTGCAATAAGCGGTGTCGATGCAGATATTGAATATCATAATATTTTATTTTATTAAGAATCTTTGCATAGTTTTACGTTATTGTAAATAATTTTTAGCAGATTTTTTAATTTGTATATTTTTTGTTACAGAAAATTAAAGCTACCAGTAAAGGCGTTTCAAGCACTCATACTTATTATGGTAAGTTTAACTTTCTTTATAAATATTTAATAATGTTTTTCTAACGTTTGTGTTATAATATTTACTTATATGAATTTATATTGTGATGATTAGCGATATAGCAAAAATTGCAAAAAAATGACTAAAGCCAGCAAAATATCTGTGTATTTTTTCGTGTTTTTCTACATGTATATATATACAGGGTGTTCCTAAATATCATTCATGTACATACGAAAGGGGATGATTCTTTGTTTTTTCAGGGGTCATGCCGTCTTTTCTGCCCCTTAACTGTTTCGCGGTGCGCAGCTGGTCGATTCTGAGTAACAAAATGATTTTTCTACATTATTTAGAAACTTTTTATTCTCTTGTAGTTTTTTCGTATCACCAATCCTTATCGAGAAATATCAATAAATCTTTTCTACCTACAGTGTCGACAATAGAGGTCCCGCAGCCATATTCTTGCTTATTTTCAATAGGAATCTAGAGGTGAGACACCCCTCGCCGCCATATTCTTGCTCATTTTCAATATGAATACATTAAAATTTCAACACCCTGTAGATCGGTAACGAAGCGTTTGCGGACCTATGTTCATTGAAAATTTTAGTCACAAAATATACCAAAGAATCACCCCCTTCCGCTTGTACATGATATTTAGGAACACCCTGTATATATGGAAGAAATACACGAATGTAAAGCGGAAATATTAGCCGTGTATTTACAGCTTGTCATGTGAATAAATTCATGAATTTATACTTGCATTATGTAGAAATATGGGGAAAAATACACAGAATAATGCGGGCTTTAGATTTGTTTAAATAATTATATATCTACAGTGTGTCCACTTAAGTTCGCAGCAGATGGAAAACTTTTTAATTATCAATTTATAAATATATATTATAAAAGTTTCTGCTTCTTGAAAAAATAGTATTAAACTATTAAAACTTGAAATAGCATATTATACTTGAACAATAACCTATCATATAAAGTTAGAATTTGTAAGAATATCCACTTTTTGTCAATTTGCCTTTCAACAGGAATTAGTAATGTTACATTACCAAACTAATAACATAATGTGTCAAGTTATTCAAGTACAAATGAGTACCTATTCATTAATATGTTGTTCAAGTACAATACTAACCTGATTGACTCAGCTGTGAATTTTTCTCATTAGTTCAAAAATTACAGGTTTCAGGTGAGTGTCTTATTTGAACAGTTCAACAGTATATTGGTGAGTAGATGGCTGCGGAACTAGCTGCGCTCGTCCCGCAGAGGTCCACCCATAAGTTCCGCAATAATCCACTTATTTGTACTTGAACAATAACTTATTATATAAAGTCAGAATTTGTAAGATTATCCACTTTTTGTCAATTTGGCTTTTAATAGGAATTAGTAATGTTATTTTATCAAACTAGTAATATATTGTGACAAGTTATTCAAATACAAATGAGGGAATTGTTGCGAAACTTATGGGTGGACCTCTGCGGGACGAGCGCAGCGAGTTCCGCAGCCATCTATTTATCAATATGTTGTTCAAGTACAATACTAACCTGATTCACTCAGTTGTGAATTTTTTTCATTAGTTCAAAAACTACACGTTTTAGGTGAGTGTCTTATTTGAACACACAACAGTATATTGGTGAGTAGATGGCTGCGGAACTCGCTGCGCTCGTCCCGCAGAGGTCCACCCACAAAGTTCCGTAATGATCCACTTATTTGTACTTGGAAAATAACTTATTATATAAAGTCAGAATTTGTAAGATTATCCACTTTTTCTCAATTTGTCTTTTAATAGAAATTAGTAATGTTACTTTATCAAACTAGTAATATATTGTGACAAGTTATTCAAATACAAATGAGTGAATTTTTGCGAAACTTATGGGTGGGCCTCTGCGGGACGAGTGTAGCGAGTTCCGCAGCTATCTATTCATCAATATGTTGTTTAATTACGATACTAACCTAACTCACTCAAATGTGAGTTATCCTCATTAGTTTAAAAACTACACGTTTCAGGTGAATGTCTTACTTGAACAGTTCAACAGTATATTGGTGAGTAGATGGCTGCGGAACTCGCTGCGCTCGTCCCGCAGAGGTCCACCCATAAGTTCCGCAACAATCCACTTATTTACACTTGAAAAATAACTTATTAGGATAAAGTCAGAATTTGTAATATTATCCACTTTTTGTCAATTTGCCTTTTAATAGGAATTAGTAATGGTATTTTACCAAACTAGTAATATATTGTCACAAGTTATTCAAGTACAAACGAGTGGACTGTTGCGCAACTTATCAGTGGACCCAGCCATCTATTCACCAATATGTTGTTCAAGTACAATACTAATGTGAATTTTTCTCATTAGTTCAAAAACTACACGTTTCAGGTGAGTGTTTTTTTTGAACAGTTTAACAGTATATTGGTGAGTAGATGGTCCACCCATAAGTTCCGCAATAATCCACGTACAGGGTGGTCAGAAAATAGGAAAATATACAGGATTTTTGACAAAAGTAGAAAAAAAATGGCACGATACTATTTTTTAAGCCCTTAATAATTTTTTCCAGATTAGGCAAGTCATATTACAGTCAAAAAATATCTTTCGTTATCACCTGCCAAATTTGAAAAAAAAAAAATTGGAATGAGATTTTTGAGCTAAAAAAACGATTTTTTCTAAAACTTTGACGCCCTGTATCTCAGAAACTACGAATTTCCGAACACATGTTTATGGGAACTTTTTTTCTTAGAATATTGTAAGGAATCACATCCTGAAGTTACGAACCGTACTTAGGAAACACCCTGTATATTTTTTTATTTTTTGACCACCCTGTACATGCTATTTCAAGTTTAATTAATTTAATATTATTTTTTCAAGAAGCAGAAACTTTAAAAAGGAATAACTTTTTTTCGTAAAATTGATAATAAAAAAGTTCCCCATATGTTGCAAACTTAAGTGGACACACTGTATATACAGGGTTATTGGTAATTCGATACATACCTTAGGAAATGTGATAGGAGATGAAGTAGGGAGTAAAACAACATGCTTTATGCAAAACTCAATAGTTTTCGAGATCCAATGTTTCTGTTTTTCTTGAAAACATAGACCCAACTGCCTCAAAATTTAATTATCGAAAAATCTACAGTGCCTACATTTCATCAACACTATGTGTCTTATGATTGTATTAAAAGAAATCCGGAAAAATTTCTGTTATGGAAAAATCATCAGATGATATTTTCAAGAAAAACAGAAACATTGAAATACCTATCAAAAAAACTATAGAGTTTTGCATAGAGCATGTAAAGGTTAAATTTACTCCTTACCTCAACCCCTATTTAGGGAAAAATCTCTTTTATTTTTTTTGCGGGCTTAGGAAGCGTCGGGGCAAAAAACGCCTAGAGACATTTTCGAAGTATTTTTTAGTCCTCTATCTGATGGAAATTTCCATTTTTTCAAAATTCGGAAAATTAAAAGCAGGGCGCTTATACCCCATTACACGCACATTTTCAAAATTGGGGGGATATGGGCTAAAACCTTTCCGGTAAGTCATAAAGGGCTGAAACTTGAAATTTTAACTTTTTCAGATCCTTTTTACCTACATTTATCAACTGCCTCAAAATTCAATTATCGAAAAATCTGCAGTACAGTATGGGTCTTATGTTTGTATTAAAAGAAATCCGGAAAAATTTCTGTCATGGAAAAATCATCAGATGATGTTTTCATTGAAATACCTATCAAAAAAACTTTTTTTTTTTGCATAGAGCATGTAAAGGTTAAATTTACTCCTTACCTCAACCCCTATTTAGGGAAAAATCTTTTTTATTTTTTTTGCGGACTTAGGAAGCGTCGGGGCAAAAAACGCCTAGAGACATTTCCGAAGTATTTTTTGGTCCTCTATCTGATGGAAATTTAAATTTTTCAAAATTCGGAAAATTAAATGCAGGGCGCTTATAGGTACCCCATTACACGCACTTTTTCAAAATTGGGGGGATATGGGCTAAAACCTTTCTGGTAAGTCGTAAAGGGCTGAAACTTGAAATTTCAACTTTTTCAGACACCTTTCACCTACATTTACCAACTGCTTCAAAATTTAATTACCGAAAAATCTACAGTATCTACATTTCATCTATACTATGGGTCTTATGATTGTATTAAAAAAAAAAACGGAAAAAATTCTGTCATGGAAAAATCATCAGATGATGTTTTCAAGAATAACAGAAACATTGAAATACCTATCAAAAAAACTATGGAGTTTTGCATAGAGCATGTAAAGGTTAAATTTACTCCTCACCTCAACCCCTATCACATCTCCAAAGGAATGTTTCCAATTACCAATATACAATGCCAATAGGTAACCCTGTATATTAAAATAGTTATTTTTAACAAAAATTAAATCTATCTACCTTTCATATTAATAAAATGTGATTAGTGTCTAGCTCCTTCTTGTATATAAATCAAAACTAATCAAATGGGTACATAATTATTTTATTTATTTGCACTTATAGATTTTTCTTCAATCAATAAAAAATAAATAAATAGCCAACACGTTAAATGCTTTATGCGACCTCTTGAGTGTCAAGGATAACGACATACGATAATGATTTATATGCAAAAGAATGCTTGTTATTATGGTTTATCGTTGATGCAAAATTACTTCCTATACTACCTTAACTTGATTTTTCTGGTAGGGATAACACAACACTAAAACTATCAAAAAATAACATTTGAGATGTAGTTCTTTTAGAGACCTTTAAAAATTTAGACCACACATCCAGCTAATAAAGTTAATTAAATCATTAACAAAACGTCTATATTAAAAACCATAATATAGCAAATCAGTCAGTATCTTAAGACAAATTAGGTAATAAATACAGTCGCTTGCCTTGACTTTTGCGATAGGTACTACAAAGGTACCGATTAAATTTTTTAATTGGTTTATTAAAAATTGAAAAGTGATTTTGAATATTAAGTTATGGGTTAATTAATTTGGTTCCTGACTAAGAGGTGTGCCTGATCACTGCAGAACTAAACTAGGGCATCAATTTTTTTGTAAATTATGAATCTAGAATTTATCTAATTTAGTCTGACGACAAAATGGACCTTTGAAGGTGTATTTGGAAAAAACTTTATATTCTCCCTGAAAAACACATGGGCCAGTTTGGTCCAAACATTTTCAAAAACCATGAAAGTTTTTGGTTCCAAAAGTATATATAGCTTCAGCCCATAGATGTTTATCCGGAGTATCGTCGTCAGTAAGGGTGCAGCAAGAGAACAAGCACAAAATTATCCATTTTTCCATGTAAATCTCCATAAGAAAATCTAAGGTCCAAATTGCGGCTTTTACGACCATTTCCAGGTAGCCCCGCTCCCGTTCCTGCATCGACCGGCCGCCAAGACATCTCAACAACACCTCCAAGACATCTCAAAGACAATAATCATATCTCCAAAACATCTCAACAACACCTCAGAAACAATTCCAAGACATCTCAACAACACCTCCAAGACAACAATAACATCTCCAAGACATCTCAACAACCCCTCAAAGACAACTTCAAAATTTCTTAAACATGCTCACCTACATGAACCACTGTTGTTGTTGTTGTTGAGATGTCTTGGAATTGTCTTTGAGGTGTCTGGGAGATGTTGTTATTATCTTAGAGATATTGTTGAGATGTCTTGGAGTTGTCTTTGAGGTGTTGTTGAGATGTTTTGGAGATATTATTATTGTCTTTGAGAAGTCTTGGAGGTGTTGTTGAGATGTCTTGGCGACCGGTCGATGCAGACCTGGGCGCTGGAGGGGGCTACCTGGAAATGGTGTACAAGCCGCAATTTGGACCTTAGATTTTCTTATTTTGATTTACATGGGAAAATGAATGATTTTGTGCCCGATCTCTTGCTGGGCCTTTACTGTCGATCCATCCATCAGATTGCTATAGGTACAGCTATTTTTGTAAATCTTCATAAGAAAATGCTGCTTTGAAAGCAAACCCATTAGAGAAAGATGATTTCTCCCTAAATTATCATTCGATAATCATTTTGATTGTAGTACATGCCATATATTTCTTGGCGGAAGTTCTTGCGACCCGATAGAAAAACTTCAATTTTCAGATCCATTATTTCAGCGTTCAGGTCTCGTTTTATTAAAGATATTTCATTTCTTCATAGCTTCTCAGCTGTCCACTCGGCTGTTAGCATTTTTGAGGAGTTACCAATTATTTTCTTCGAGTGTCTTGCTCCAGGTGTAGAGCTAAGAAGTCGCTAACTGCCATCTTTATTACCTGCTCGAGAAATACTCGAAAAACTAAGTTGGAGGACGTGGCATCAAAAGTCATCCATCTGAAAATGGACATTCGCAGGACATAAAGATTATATGATGGTCACAGATGAGATTTGTCGAGCTCAAACTAACCACATCAATACAATGGAGACAAGTAACTAGTCAAAACATACTTCACTCGCGAGAATTAGGAGAGACTATTCATCCAAAAATGGATGATCACTGATTAGAAGACCTTCACGTATAGTCCGCCGTATGAAAGGGAAAGGACTGAAAAAATGCGACCGTTCGCATCTCGCCTTGTACGTGAACAAACATAACTCCGCCGCATTTTATTTGTGGTCTTTCGATTTTTTTTTCTCAAAAATTGACGTAAGTTATCAAAAATCTTAAGAAACTATAGTGTAGTATAACATACCCGGGTTCCGGATTCGTTCAGCAAGATTGGATGATGTGAATTTTCATTACCTTTTAAACAACAAAACCTCTGAAAAACGAAATGAGAAACAAATAGGACCTACGTTGTGGAAACTTACTCAATTTTACTTACTGAACATGCGCCCGACATAGCAAATATTTGGGAAATTTAAGGAAAGCTGACATATGTAAAAGAAACAAGAAATTTATGAAACGTCTACTTTATTATTGAAGTAAATCGTACCGTTCTTATTCTGGAACTAACGAGGGAAAAGAGCACGGCAGAGAAACCCTCGATCTACATTCCTCAAAAATCAAAACATGATAATTGTGAGTCATTAATTCAATAATTTAAGTCAATAAAGATTTAAATTAGGTACCGCTCCTGTTCTTGTGCTAAAATTTCAATTACACACACTACATTCAATCAACACTACCTATATTCAATACTGAAGAGTTTTTTTGTTAGTTAGCCAGTTTCCCAGCAGGTACTGAGGTCCCATACGGGAAGCTACTCAGCTATAGTTGTTTTTGAGCCAATATTGATTATTTCAATTTGCTAGGATATTCTCTCGTCAGGGTAGAAAAATGTTAGTTCAACAAGGCCCTAATGTACAGGGTGTTTCCTTATATTTTGACCCCTACCTACAGCTTTAGCTATACGAGGTAGAAAAAAACTTTAAAAATAAAAGTTATAGGGTTTTATGTCTATTATCTTTTGCAAATGTCAAAATGGGTGGATGACAGGTGCTAACTGTCACAATGGCAAACACTTGCATTTTTCAAATGGAACACCCTGGTTTTCCTCAATACATTCACCTATACTGTGAGATATTTTGTTTTCAATCACCGAAAACATTTTCTTTACTCTTCTCTGTTTTTGTTTTTATTTATTTTCATATATTCGTTTTTTCTTTTCAGGTAATTCTTAAACAGTGCAGTAGTCTCAGCCACAGTCACATGCGATGTTTCGGCCCGGTATCGAAGACGAAAGTCTATAACCATGACAATGGCTACGTGTACGTAAGCAATTCGAGCAGGCATCAGATAATGATCAGTGGAGGTGAGTTCTAAATTGAAAAAAATCATTTTTATCATAAGTCAAACATCGTCCCATAAACGGAAACAACTCTGTATACATATTTCGAATTCTACGCCTTTGCGCAGAATCGTGACTATGTAAATGTAAAATTTTGATAATTTGTTCTAGACATTGAGTACGGTCTCTACCAGATATCGACTCCTCTAAATCCCACCTGGAATGTAAAATATCGACACCACGGTCACAGGATGGAGGAGGAACCACCCCATTCGTTTTATTTATTCGACCCAAGAACTAGAAGGTTTCTCTGTTGGAAAAACGTAAATGGATCCATGATAAGCATGGTAAGTCATATTCAAAACTATTCATTTATTCACTTACTAAATTATTGTTTTACTTCAGGATTACAAAAACATCGAACAAAAGAAGCACTGGGACCTCTGTAAATTCATCGACCGTGTATCAGATGACAAACGATTCCTTGGAGCCTACGTGACGTTACAACTAGAAGGTCACCGAGGTACTACAATGCAATTTGACAAAAAAGGCCGGAATATATCCCACAAACGAATTCAAAAATGTATAAGAAAATTATCTCGAGAATCAGACGATATAAGGGTGAGACAAATAAAACGATGTATGGGGAGAAAACTGTATTTATTCAAATATCCTCCTGAAAAATCGCATGATTGTTGTAGCGAAGCGTTTGAAACTCTATGTAAGGGTAAAACCAGGCATATGCCCGAACTGAAAGATGCTTGTCGTAAAGCGAGAAGTTGTGCAGGATACCCGTAATTTATTAAAATTATTTGTCGCTAAAAGGTGTATGTATAATAAATTTAACGAATTTCAAATTTTTTTTTTCTGGGGCTTAAGCTTATATATCAATTTTACTAATAATAATAAATAATTCTAGTCTAAAATTAGCAATAAATAACCTTTTGAGCGATGACAATGTTGAAATTCTCGGTAAAACGCTGCTTGAATAGAGAACTCACAAAACATGTGTACTAATAATATAATAATATTTTTAAAATAAATATTAATTATAATTTTAGGCTTCACCCATTTATACGCTTATTATACTTAATGTCCGATAAAGTATTTTGCCGAAAATTTCTGTGGTTTTTAAAGATGGTCAAGAATTGGATAATGAAAACTTCCGGTTACCTTAACAATCATTTGTCAAGAAATATAAACTTTTTATGTAGTTACATAATAAAATTTAATATTTCTAAATGTTTAAATAGCAATTTTATTAGTTACCTATTCTTGATTCTTAAAGGACTATATTATAGTGTCAGTATTCTAATTGTATAAGCTTGGTGACTTACTAAGCTACTATTTCTACCAACCAGCATTCGTTTTTTTTTCTATATAACAAGCAATAGTAGCCTAAAAGTCCTTAAATGTATATGATTGTACAAATTATGACTAAAAAAAATATTTTATAACATACAACTTTAATTTATTTTTCTATCTTTTAATATTTTTCTTTTTGTAATTTTTATTTGATAAGTTATTTCAATTACACAGTTAATGAAGCGACATCTTGCATAAGCTTTAATAATCATTTTTTGAAAGACTTCATCCAGGTGTTGCTTTATAAAACTGGAAATGAGAGTTTTGTTTTACCTCTGTGAGGTACGTATTCTACATGTTTTTTTTTTTGTATATTTATTATTTATTTTTGTAAATATTCGTTGTACTACCGTTTGAAATGACACCTTATTATTTCATTTTAAACGATAGTTCTGTTATTAAACCTTAATAGACAAAAGTGTGTGCTGAGAAACTCACTTTTGTCCATTATCGTTTCTTCCATGTTTTAATGGACAATAGTACTAAGAGTACAGAACAAACGCTTTCAAGCAATGACTCCAATAACATTAAAACTCTTCTTAGAGGCGTTTTTTGAGTACACCCTGTATTAACATAAATGTACCAAATAGTTGGGCTATGTATGATGTACTAGAATATGATGCCTTTTGAAAATATTGCACCGTCTAAAAATGTTTATGAAAATTACATAAAATTTTTAGTGAAAATTGTTTTTCATTTAATAAGCCTCTATTGCATATTGAAATTGAAGAAAATTCTTGATAATGCAATATTTTCAGAATTAAATTGTTTTTTTTTTTTTTTTAATGTCGGAGACGCTTGATACGCGTGACTTACAGAAGATTTTTCCTTAAATCTAATTTTTCCCATGTATGATCAAAATGTTTTCTGTAAGCCTTCACGTGTGTATGTGTGTTAAATGGTAAACAAAATAATATTAATGTAACATGTAATTTTCTATGTAATTTTTTTTTTGTAATTATATCGCGGCCTCGCTCATGTATGTAATTCGATGTAAGATCTGTTGTAGAAATGTGTCCTTATATTTACATTCCAAATCAAATCACAATATTTACTGATGTCCGTTTGCAATAAAAAGAAGTCAGTAATTGATATTAATTTTGTTTTATTTATTTGGAATTAGTTTCATCATTTTCAGCATCAGGATAAATTGAAATTAAACTCTTCTGATATTAAAGAAACTACAATACTATCTAAGAAATGATACACATTTCTTCCTATGATATTTCCCAATGTAGCTCTTCAGTGATGTTGAAATGATAGCTTCTCTTCAAATTTTCAGCATTTTATTATTTCAGATCGTTCAACGATTTTTTGGTCAGTGGTAATATATTTGGTAAAGACATTTTCTATTTTTCGCCGATTGTTGATTTGTATTTCCACTCCATGGTTTTGCTCGTAACTCTATAGGTCACGATAGGACCTCTCTTTTGTCCCATCTTCATTGCTTTCTTGTTTATCGTAATATCTTCTTGAGAAACTGTTATTGATTTCCAGAATAATGTGAATTTTCTGGATGGATGTCTATGAAAAACTATTAGGTAAATCATATCACGTCTATCTTTGTCTGTCTCGATAATTAAATAACCCCAAAAGACATAACCAAACTTTTTGTTGCCACTTGCTACATGAACGAGTGCGTGTATATTTCTGAATCGCAGTATAATTTGGCCGCGCGTTTTATGTAAACCCATTATATGTATAGGTACTGCGTTTCAGACCGTTGAAGCAGAGTCGTGGTTTGAATCATGGTAGGTATCTATACATTGTATTTTCAAATTACACCTAACATAAAGACATAGTATCCTGCGAATGTGAGTATTGTCAGTCGTTTTTAATCTGACACTTTTCGTGTAAGGAGCAAGGGGGTGAAGCTTATGGGAGAAACAGGTGTGACGTCAGTTGACCATTGGCGTTCTAAGCCACCAGCTAACATTCTGGATTATACTATCAGATTTAAATCAATTCAATAAGTACAGTTCGTTTCTCGAGGGTTTATACTTTTGACACGTCATAACTGACACATTCAATTTTTTTGGCAAATTAAAATGAATGACTTCTGGCTTAAGAACCGACGAACGTTTCTGACGTCATTGCATTGATTTGTTTCAGTGATTTTCTATTTGTTAAAAAATGGAGGCAAATTATGTCAAAAGTATAATCCCTCGTGAAACAAAGTGTATTTTTATACCTTCCTTATGGAACATAATATCGTCTATAATACGAAGGTACAGCGTTATTGGTTGTAAATGTCACCCCCTTTATCTCTTGTATTTGACATTTTAGAAAGAAGTGTAACAAATAAAAGTTTTATGGTTGGAATTACATTTTTTGAAAAACTCACTTTTGCATATACAGGGTTTTTAGAAAAACTAGTCTTATTTTAAATGGAATTTTCTGTATATTATTAAATATTTGGATTCTTCGTAAAATTCTGAGCAGATTTCATGTGATATCCTATATCTAAGCTCAATTGTTTTGGAAATATTGACAGTTGAAAGTCAGTCAAAGTTGCAAAAAAGTCTATTTTGAACTGTCAATATTTCCAAAACAGGTAAATTCAAGTATAGGGCAAGATGGTTTGAGAGAGGTAGGTTGTCTGATAACTTTATGACGTCATCTGGATTGCTTCAACATAATGCAAATCCTCATGAGGCACCCCAGATGCGTTATCAAGTTACCCATTACCAGGCAATCTATTAACTTGAGGAACCTTGGGTAAAGGGTATATTACATGAAATCTGCTCAGACTTTTACGTAGAATCCGAATATTGGATAATATACAGGGTATTCCGTTCAAAATAAGAAAGCTGGACCACGACCAGCTTTTTTGAAACACTCTGTATATGCGAGAGTGAGTTTTTCAAAAAATTTAATATCATCCATAAAACTTTTATTTGGGACACTTTTTTCTAAAATGTCAATTAAAAAAGATAGAAGGGAGTGACATTTATAACCAAAAACCCTGTACCGAATGATTGTCTATATTTTGCACCCACACCTATCTCGGGTGCTTTCTTTTCAGAGCTTTGAAACCCCAGGCTTCGACGCCCTGGAACCCGTCAGTGCACGCTCTGAAAAGAACGGTAATTAAGGATCATATATAATGATCTGACACTGGTGACAGTTCGGACACTGGAGCTATAGAGCTTCGACGCCTCGCTGAGGCGTCAGCGGTGGGGATAGACGACCCCGGGGCTTAACGCCCCGATTAAAAAGAAAGGTTGTTTACATTTCAAAGTCGTGATACAGGGCGCCCTTGGGCGCCCAGGCACCTGAAAAGAAAGCAGCTCTCATCTATTTGAAGAGATACCGAGAAATGTCAAACGTGAAAGTCATAGACGCATAATTTCAAAATTACCATGGGGGCTCGAGCTCCAAAAATTATCAAAAGTAGAATTAATTATACAGACAGGACTAGACTACTACACACATAGGCTGTAGACTCATTGAGAACTACAATATAGCTTATTAAAGTTACCTCTCCATAAGGCACCGTTTTTGAGAATATCGACTCGCAAAACTTCCATTACATTTTCAGAGAAATTTTAACTTTGACGGCTTATATCTCGGGGACAGAAACAACCTGGAATATGAATAAAAAAGAATTTTGTAGGTACCTAATTTATTGTTTTTTCGGAGGAAACGTGATTCGCGACAATCGGTTCGAAATCACTGAAGTTATAAGCGAAAAAGTAGAGCCGTTTCGAGTCCCCAAAATTTTCCAGGATCAAAATCTATTTTATTTGTTTCCGGGCTTACGAAGCGTCGGAGCGAAAAACACTATAGATATTTTCGACGTATTTTTGGCTCCTCTATCCGGCGGAATTTTTTATTTTTCAAAATTCGGAATAGTAAATGCAGGGCGTGTATGCACCTTTGCACGCCCTTTTCCAAAATTGGAAGCATAGGGGCTAAAACCCTTCCGGTAGGTCGGAGAGGGTTGAAACTTGGAATATCAACTTTTCTGGACCCCTTTCACCTATATTCCGAATTACATCCGAATCGACCAAAAAAATAATATTTAGGGGCCCCCAGAGGGATTTGCTTTCCAGGTAGAGGCCTACCGTATATTTTTCTCGATAAAACTCGTACCTACTCCACTAGATTCGTACCAAATTTCAGTTTGATAGGATCATCGAATTTTTGAATTTTTTTCCATGTTAAACTAAGTAAAAAATGCCAGTGTAGGTACATCATGATTATATTCATGTGATGTGAACATACCTATCATGAAAACAAACGAAGGAAATAATAATCACACAAATTTGATATAAAGCGTGATTCAAATTGAGTTTCCACATTGTAATATATACTACTTTTGTAATTAGTACTTTATTATATTAAGAAATTAGTGAGATAAATGTAATTATAAAAACATGTGTTTTATCTAGCCCCTGGCATTGACAACTGTGGCTTGTGACGCTTGGCTTGGCGGGACAGCTCCTAGCTGATCGGGAGTGGCTAAAGACAACTATCGGGAGTGGCTATAATCCTTCACATCCCCCTTTCTAAGAAATGAAAATTACTTAAAATTATAAATCCAACTTATTAGGTTTTTTAACCGTTCTACCATATGAAGTAACTTTTTGATTGTTTAGAAACATGGATTCACAATCAACAGAACTAGAAGATTCTAAGCTATTACTGTCACTGCTTGTAAAAATCTCATTTTCACTGTCAGAGTCTGAATGTACGCTTATATAACTATCGCTGTCATCTGCTACCTCTCTAACTGAATCAGTACTCTCACTATTCTCCCTTTGTCTTTCTAATTCTACAGGTACTTCTACTTCAACATTTTCAGATGGATTTTCTAAGTCTATAAAACATTTCTCTAATTTAACTTGTGGCAAACTACTATTTACATTTCCTGGCTTAGTATTCACAATCTCTCTATTTACAAATTTCAGAAACTTTCTGTTGCGGAACAGAACAGAACCATTCTCTAATTGGACTTTATAAACTCTGTCTCGAACTTGTTCTATTACTTTTCCTGGAGTCCATATAGAATTTGGTTTTGTTTGAATATAAACTGTTGAACCATTCAATAAAGGATTCAAATTCCTAGTACCTTTTTGATTATAATATTTCTTCTGTGCGTTCTGCCTTTTTTCAACTACAGCTTTATTATAATTATAGGGAATTTTAGGTTTTAAATCTTTATTAGTTAATGGCAAAATTGAGCGCAACTTTCTAGACATGAGTATTTCCGCTGGTGAAATATTTTCAAACATTGGTGTGGTTCTGTAAATTAATAAAGCCATATAAATGTCACTTTTCTCAAGTGCAATCTTTTTAAACATTTTTTTCGCAGTTTGGATATGTCGTTCTGACATTCCGTTGGATTGTGCATATGTAGGTGACGTCATATCGTGTGTGAATTCCCACTGTTCAGAAAAATGTTTAAATTCACTGGATGAAAATTGTGGGCCCCCGTCAGAAATGACAATTAGAGGTATCCCATGTCTGGCAAATATTGACTTTAAATGATTAATGATCACAACACTTGACATACTACTTTTTAAATCAGCGATTTCTACATATTTTGAGTAGTAGTCAATGACCAATAGATATTTTTGACCTTTAATTTCAAATATGTCGCAACCTATTTTATTCCACGGTATATTTGGAATGTCATGTGGTTTCATTGGTTCACTGTTTTGCGACTTTGCGAACGTTAGACAAGCATGGCATTGTGAAATTCTTTGCCGAATCTGATTATTCATACCTGGCCAAAATAAATGTTCTTGGGCAAGCTTTACACATTTATTGATTCCCAAATGACTGTAGTGTACACGACTTATCATTTCATTTCTTAAAGAGCTTGGTACAACTAAACAATTGCCCTTAAAAATGAGGTCATTTACAATAGTCAATTCACTTTTGTAAGGAAAATAAACTTTTAGACTATCTGACAACTTTTTGTTTGAATTTGGCCAACCACTTATTATGGTCTTTTTTAATTCTTTAAGGATAAAATCTTTTTCAGTCTCAATTTTAAACTGATTTATTTTTTGGGGTGTAGCATTTAATTCTAAATTTACAAGGCATACATGACATTCAATGTCATTATCCAATTCACTGCAAGA